CTCGTCATGGGGGAAGAAGGGGGAGGGGGCGGGTGGGGGGAAGGAGGGAGTCGCTAACGCCCTTGAGGAGAAAAATGGGGGATTAATCGCGCGTTCCGCACCCCGACCACACACTCCTGCCTCACGGGGAAGGAGGAAGGCGGAGAGGTTTTTTCCTAAAGAGGTGAAATCCAGACACACCCACGTTAACACAAAATCCAGCTTTCTGGAGAGATTGAGCGGGGGAAGAGGAGCGCGGGGAGGGGGGCGACCTGGTTACAGAAAAGCAAATGATGCCAAGCAATTTGCTTGCCTAAGCTATTGTCCTGAAGCTATCTCTTGCCACTTGTGCTTCAAATCTCAAATACTGCATTGACATACGGGACCGTATCTGTTTAATAGATTATGTAGTTTATAGACAAAGCATTTCACAAAATCTCAAACTTAATCCAGCTTTTCTTCCATGTAGTATGAATTAAATTGCATTTTTTCCAAATACCTCTACTTTCGCACACATAGTAAAAAAAAAACCCTACAAAACAGTGCAGTAAAAGTAACCTGAAATTAAGTCCTTTTGTAAAACATCACAGTAACAGCTAAACAGATTAGTTTCATTAATCCGAATACTGGATATAGTATTTGTCCTAATGGTCCAAGATTACAAAAAAATTCCAGTCGTGACCTTTTCCCCATATGTGAAACTGAAGAGAATGTCTAAGTAAGAGATTAGACAAATAAATTACGGACCTTGAAGTATTAGTATGTAAATTGTATTCCAGGGATTTTTTTTTTTTTTAAACAAAGTTGCATAGTTAAATGACTTTGTTTTGATTCTCACAATTACACATTTTCAGCAAAAATCAGTCTTTCCCCTCCCAAACCAGATCTTTAGAGTGAACTCATCCTGTGAAACAAAAGAAATGAGAAAGAGAAAGGGAAAAGTCTGCACTCTTGGATCTGAGTAAGAATCCAGCGATCCATGGGCGAAATAACTGCCAATAAACTACTAGCCCTTAAAGACAACTACAAAAGCATTTTTGTAAAAGCCTGACTAACCAACCGCTAAGCTCCCTGCATCTGGCAACAGTAGATAAAATGCAATTGTGCCTACAATACTATGGAACTTCCCTGGCTCATCAGTTTGTTTCTTGTGGGCTCTAATTAGGAAGTAATGACTTTGGCGTAAAGCAGTTTCTAGGAATGAGAGACTGGCTACCAGAAAGTTGATAGCCCATGTAGTAGTCGTGTGTTAATAACACCAGCTGGCTCATGAGTTCCTGAAAAATATTTTATACTGAGATTTCATAACATTGAGATAAAAATTTCATTAAACAGCGTTAGATGTTTTTACTTCCATCCACACCATCCTGTTCACATGCATTTTCAGCATTGCTGTTAATAATTGTTCCCGCAGAAATACTGTTATATTTTAGATAAATGCTGCATAATGTCTTTATGAAATACATTGTAGGCTGGTTTATCTCAGAAGATTTACAATTCCCTATTAGAACTGGAGATTAGTACAAGAGAAAACTAACATTTCAGAAAAGGTATCCAGAAGCAGTTTTATGACTTAGTTTGGGCGCTTTTTTTTTTTAAGACTAAGAGCCCTCAAAACCTGTGAAGAAGCTCTATAGTCTTTGTAGCTTTCATTTTGTCAAACAAAGCATAAGAAAATGTACCTCATTTTCAGGTATACACAGACATCAATCAGTACAAATTGCTGGAAGGGTAGCTATTTAGGATGTAATAGCTAGAAGAAATTGGACAACCTAGAGATTGTTCAGTTGCCTTTAGAGTCCATCACGTAGGCACCAGCAGGATACCTATACATTACTGGTGCCTACCAGTGTAGCCAGGCTTGACCAGTTGTGGCTCTCCTGGACCAGCTTGCTCACTTGTGCTCGGCTGCAGAGCGATGCAAACCAGGTATTTAAAATGCAGCCATGTAAGGGAGGTGAGACGACCTGCCATGGGACAGGAAGCTGTCTACCTTTGATTGCCGAGCCCTTTTTTGACAGACGTCCCTTGAAATTAATTACAAGGTAGGAAGAAGTGTTGTCTTCCGAGTTGTTTTTCTGATCCCAAACTGAAAATGGAAGGCTTCCACTTTTAGCGTGGCTGTCAGGAGTCTTCAGGAGTATTGACCTAGGAAATACTTACAAGTCACAGCTCTACTTCAAGTGGTGAGGCAACATCACTGTAATCTGTAGCTTGTGATATATTTGGCTGCCTTGTTTTAGCACTTTTTACCTCCTAAAAGCAAGTTTATGACTACACTTAACAGTGGTTACTACAATTCAGTACCAGCTGAGGAAGTTGGCAACCTGAGTTAACTGACCCAGAAATAGGGAAGGCTGCTAGCAGGTGACTGCTTATGTCTCGAAGCGTGAGCTAACCGAAATCCTCCTCCCACTGCTCCTTTGCCCAAAGGTGGAGCATCTGGATTCTCTGCTGTCTGGTGAGGTGTATGCTTAGACTGGTACGTGATACCACCCCCTCAGTCAGCAAACTAGCGGGCCACCTAAGATGCTAAGAACCCATCTTTGGTCCTCCTCTCATAATCCCAGCGCTGTATGCCTCCTAAAGATCAGGCTCCTAGCTTCCAGGTTTTATTAGCGTATGTGCAGCTCTCCTAAATGGTATGATTCAACTTGAAATTGTGTATCTTCTTCTTGGAAAGTAAAATACCCTATTTTGGCTATAATAGAACTGACAGTTTGAACAATTCATTTACCTTGAAACAATAAAGTGTAATAATAGTGTTTCTGCATTTAAGTTCTAGTAGTTTTAACTACAAAAATTTATCTTTTTTACAATATGAAAAAAATGCACTGAGAACAGTCTTGTTCTTTCACATCTCCATTCTCTAGAACTAGAGACCTGTCAGTATTTAGTATGGTATGTGGCCTACTGCTTCTGAATGTACAGATTTAGAGATTAACCTCATTATTTGAAGTGTAGCATTTGTTCTTCTGCGGGTAAAGCATCCCCGTCTCATTTCTATTGCATCTCCTTTGGTACCACAAAGATTCTACACGGAAGTTATAAACTGTGCCGAGATCCCAGACTTGCAAATCACAGAATTACTTCATGATCTCACTGTAACTTGTTTTTCCTCATGATTTCCTGTGCCTGTTGTTGCAAAGGAACACTTGAAAAAGAACTACTAGAACACAAAGCGATGGCTGAAGTCTACAGACAGCAGGAAAGCGTACCCATGTACATCCCCATTTACCTCGTCAAGAGTTTGTCAAAAGATTTCTGGTCAGCCCTGCCCACAGTGAGCCAAGGGAGGCAGCTGTTTTGGGCGGAGAGTATAAACAAATTACCCATCTTTGGCTGATGCAAGAGACAGTGGTTTTCTCTTCCTCTCCTACATAAGCAAAGGAAAGAGGTGACAGAGAAACCTCTTGCCTCTGTTTTTGCTGACTGATCTGCACCGCTGGGCTGCTAGGCCTTTGCCTGGTCTGATAAAACTTCAGAAGAGGACAAAACAGGAACCAGGTGTGGATGCTTGGGATCCACAGCAGGGCTATACAAGTGCAGTCAAAACTAGACTTTTCTGAATATGGGCTGACTGGACCGGACAGTGGCTAGTGCAAACGGCAAGCTAATGACAAGAGACAGGCACCTTCCTTGTCCTGGGTTTGCTCCCAGAGAAGCTTGTTTCCCTATCAAACCAAGGTTGTAGGAATAGATGGAGCAATAAAAGGGAAGAGTAAAGGCACTGAGGAGTTGAGTCCTTTTGGCTAGGAATTGCCAAAGACGCCACAGGTACAGCAGACCAGTTGTTACTTCTTGTTCCACAGAAGTTGAAAGCAGGGGAAATACCTCTGTATGGGAACAAATAATGAAGTGGAAATTCCACAACAATTCTTGGAGATTTCTTCCCTGCTACTGCGTCTGTTCTAATGTGACAAAAATTTCCCATCAGCTTTAAGGGAACTTTCTGAGCAAGAACTGTAAGTAACCTCAGAATGAGAGTATTTGAGTGAAAAATAAGAACAAAACAGTAGAGGCTTGGGGAAAGTGGCTCTTGTCCATTTAGGGGGGTTTTTTTGTTTGATGGGTTTTTTGTTTTTTTTTTTTGTTTGTTTG